AAAAATGCATAATATTTTGACAAAACTATTTAAAAACATTGATATAATTTCAAAACTCGGATGCCTTATAGGGTGTGTAATGCAAATGATGGATATGTGTCACCAGTACTACTCCCACGAGACCACCACTAGTGTCCGCTACGAACACGAGCTGAAAGTGAAACTCCCGGCGATAACCCTATGTCTGGAAAAGTTTGAGTTTTTAGACATCGAGATAGAAAAAGCAAAGTTATCACACGTAAAGTTAACCCACGAAAACCGGTACGAAATTGTGAACAATTATTTAAACGAGTTAAACATATCGGATCAGTTCGAGTCGCTGGATATGCCTGGCAATGGACCGCACGGTTTGAATTGCCATATTCTCAAGCCTATCAACTTTGCTCAGGGTCAAAATAGTAGCAGATATAACGGTAATTATGTTGGTTGCGAGTTGTTGTCGCCTATTATAAGCTCGATTAGTGACGAGTTTTACTGTTTTACCCTATTTTCCCGGGTGAATGGGAGCGGCAAACAGTACGAGATCTCAAACAATCCAACCCAACGCCGTTCGCATGACTTTATGGTAAATTTGCCGCTTAATATGCTGGGCACTGAAATCACCATGCACATTCACCCCAGTCATTTGCCAATAAGTAGCCCCGAGCAAGAGGGCGCTACATTTATTAAGGGCAAATACAAGAGCATATCGATTGAGTATCAGCTGACCAGGGTGAATCTATTAGCCGCGCCATTCCGGTCAGCCTGCGTACAGCGCGCCGGCCATACATCGCAAACCGACTGTTTGGCCAAATGTCTTGTCCGGGCGTATATTACTCGTCGCTCCGGCGCTTATCCCTACCATTATCTGACCGCTGATCGCAACTCAAGTCTGTTTATCACTGACCAGAAGGTACCGCAAGAGGTGTCGGATAGTTGTGACCACAGCTGTCGACCAAATCAAGACTGTTATCAAGAGTACTATCAGATCGTGCGCTACAATAGCTATGAGCCGTGGGATGCGATGGCGCTTAAAAGTAACAGTGATTTACCCATGGTTAATTTTAGCGTAATGTTCCCAACCCTACCGGCAATTACTTACGAGATGTCACCAAAGTTTCATTTTTTAGAGTTTTTGGTATTGCTATTCGGGTTAATTGGCTTTTGGTTGGGCCTATCGGTGATCAATGTGTCCGACTATCTCGGCCACAGTCTGGTCAGAGTGTATAATAAAACTAAGCATGATGAGTTTAAGTTTAATGTGTCAATTAGTAATGTGTTTAAGTTTGGTAAAAATGTGCATGTTAAATCACCGGTTGTTGTTATTGGTGATATGGTCAACAAAACAGGTGCCAGAGTTAGCCCAATACCTAAGATTTGTGAGCATAATAAATTGAGTGAAATGTAGCTGTTGAGTGCATTTGTTTTGATTGACATAGATTTAATTTGTAATAAGTGGCGATTAAAATAATTATAAATTTGCTTTTATTGTAATGGAGTTTATTGTAAGAAAATAAATTTAATAATAATAATTTATAACAATGTAATTGAAAAATTAAATTGATAATTATTTAATTTATTAAATTGATATATTTTAATATTTTGCCAGTATCATTAAGAAAATCTATTAAATATGTTATGCATATTATTATATATTGTACTCGATCATATAGTTAATGGGATGGTGCAATAGTTTTAATGA